TTTTCTACACCTACTTCTTTACGGCTTGGCAATGCTATTTCTTCTTTTTTAGTTCTGGCGGCTTAGGTAGGTAGTCTTTCCGACATCTTCTTCACTTCTTCATCTCGAGGTCACGGTCGCCACGGACGTCTTTCGGTCAGTTCTACGTTTGATACTCTCTTGCCCTGGCAGCAGCTTCAATCGTGTGTGGTTCGTCTTTCCCTCCCTCCCTCCGTCCGTCCGTCCATTAACGATCATCCACCCGGGAGGTGCCTCTCGGGCCCTACGGGGGCCCCTCCGCCCAAGTACCCCGCAGCGAGGGCCCCACGGAAATGCCCTCAACCCCAACCACCCCCGCACCCCCGGGGGGTCGACCCCCCGGTCTCACTCGCCCCGGTCTCTCTGATGTAATTGACCTTGACTCCCCCTCCTCCCCCTCCTCCACCTCCCCCTCCTGTCTCCCCCTCCGCCTCCTCCCCCTCTAGGTGAGCCTGCTGTGGCGCCGCCCCTTCACCGGCACTACGCGCGCTATCCCAAGTTCGACCGGGGCGGGTCCCTGCTCTGGCGGCACACACCCAGCTGGCGCCGTACCTCCGATTTGGCCGCCCTGGGCTGGTTCTCTGCCTTCACCGTCATCACGCTGCTCACCCTGGTAAGAGAGGGAGAGAGGTAGGGGGTATGTACATATTCATGTATGTATGTTGTTACAGTGTGGTTATGCTTCACCAGCGGCCCCCTTTCCCGAGGCAGTTCCCTGCTCTCCCCTGCGAGAGGGGCACCCTAATCCATTCACCCCGTCCGACCTCTGAATGTATTCGTCGGGCTCAGGAACTCACCACCAGCTTCCAACCCAATCTAGCGGTTCAACGGCGTCTTAGCTTAGTTCCTGATTCGGCTCGCAAGTTGATAATTTGACATCCTGCATCGTCCACAAGGTGAGGGATCGCTTCCGATTACCACACCTCCCACTCATCTGAGAGGTTGGCAGGCGGACTTGAACCCGGACACTCCGGGAGCAGAAGTAAGGCCTTAACTTCTGCCAGCCGCCTGCCATGTATGTATAATTGCGAAATGATTTCGACATCAACATCCTCAGGTATACGGAATCCTGGAAGTGTTCATGTGTGGTCGATTCGCTGGTTTAAACTTAGCTAGGCCGGTCTGACGTGGGTTTGAGTGGATGCATGCCTGTAAGCCTGTATGTTTGTGCGTGATGAAAGAGGGAAAACATCGCTTCTGTCACTGAATAGCACTAGTACGGCACAGTACGACGTATCGCATGTTGTGCCCCATGCTCACATGTCGTACCGCTGAGCACCTAGCCAAAACACATTCAACCCACCCATCCACCCACCCACCCACTCCTGCAACTGCACAGGCTCCGGAGCTAACCGGGCACCACAGGGGCAGCAACGCACTCAACGTACGTACTTCCGTACCTTGCTTGCTTGCGTCGTACATATACATACACACACCAGGGGGAGACGTTGTGGGTGTATAGGTCTTACGTGTTGTGTATGTGGCCGTGGCGTAAGGCTGTTGCACTGCGCGTGGCTGGAATCTGTGATGGAGGTCATTTCTGTGTCCCCCTCCGCCCCCGATCTCCCCCCGCATTTCCCCCTTCAATAAACATTCAACTCCTCTCCCACATGTGGTTGTGGTTGTTGTGGTTGTTGTGGTTGCTGTGGTTGCTGTGGTTGCTGTGGTGGTTGGTGGTTGCAGTGCTGAAAATGGTAGTTGTGGTGGTTGTCGCGGTGGTGTTCCGCTTCGGCTGCTGTTATCGGGGTGACTCATGCGGGGCGTTGGATGTGTCCGCTGTTGTGTATTTGGCCCCCCCCACCACCCCGGTTTCCCCCGTCGTATGCCTCCTTAATGCACCTCTGCGTCGCTTTACGTCACGTCATCTGACCTAACCGGCCTTCCCAAACCCTAACATCTGCACACATATATACATGCATACATACACATGCGTACCAGCACGTCTGGCGAGGATGTTGGAACGTATGTGGGCTCACCGAAACTCAGTTACCCTTTGGACGCTAGTCTGGGCTGATGTGCGGTGTTTCCTTTTCTCCGTGGCTTTTAGGCGTATAGATATTGCCCTTGGGCCTTCGGCTCGTATGGGTAGTTTTACAGGTATGGGATCACGCACCCCCAACCATGTAACACACACATGCGTACATACATACGTACACAGGTGATATTCAACTACATCTCCCCCGCCGTGTTCGTGCTCGCGGCGCTGATCTACCAGCAGACGCTGGGGGACCACTACCGCAGAAGGTGATGAGGGGGGGGGCTCAGGAGGTGGAAGAGGGGTAGAGGTGGGAGGGGGTAGCGGGCGGGCTAGGGGCAGGGAAGGCGCGGGGCAGGGAAGGCGGGAGGTGCCGACAGCGACTGGCGGCTGCGCAGCAGCGGTGTGTTCGCGGGGCTCTACCGTAGGGGCACGTAGGGGCTGAGGATTGGGGGGGATGAAGGCGAGGAGGAGGAGGATGGCTGAAATCGGGGATTGAGGAATAGGATTGGCAAATGAGATTTAATTTCAGGTAATACCGCACTTTCAGGAGGAGGGCCCTCCTCCTGTTCCCGGGTCGGGAGGGGGGTTCCGCTCCCCCTTGTTTGCCCCCCACCCCCTCCGGGCCCACGGGGCGGGGTGGGGGACCTCTTCCAGGAGGCGCCACGTCAAGGCGATACGGAGAACGGAAACAATTAGGCCGGGCCCGCTCCCTACACCTCCCAACCCCCCCTCCCCAACCCCCAGCTCCGCCTTTTCAATCCCACCCAGTCTCTAGTCACCCTTGCCACTTCTCCTCCTTTCCTCCTCCTCCTCCCCTCCCCCCCCACACACACCCCTCTCACACACACCCCCACACACCCCACACAGTACCGTCCGCAACTTGGACCGCTACTTCGGCCGCACCCACATCAGCCAGGTGCCCGGTGCGGCCACCATGCGCGTCCCGGAGGGCGGCACCCCCTACCCCGCCGGACCGGGAGAGGCGCAAGGGGCCGCGAACGTGTGAAAGCAAGAGGAAAAGGAGTGAGGGGAGTGAGGAGGGGAGGGGAGGAGGGAAGGACACGGCCTTCCACGGCCGCATGCGGGGAAGGGAGTTGATGGGTTTCGGATGCTGGTTGGGTCACATGCGGCGGCGGCGACGGTGGTGGTGGCCGTTGTGGTGTGCTGGATTTTCTGCTGGGGTTTGTTTGCATGTTCTGTGGGCTATGTGGAGAAACAGTATCCTGAAGGTAAATTCTGCCACCACACTTTGTTTGTGGGCGGGTGGGTGGGTGGCGTTGGTTTGGCGCTGCTAAAGATATTGTGTGCAAAGCTGCGTTGTACAGGATGGATGGATGTTGTTTGGATGGGGGACTTCGAGGCCTTGGGGCGGACAGACGTTGACGGTGTGGACCCCGGGTGTGAAGTCCCGAGGAACATAGGGGGGCTGTGTGTGTGTGTGTGTGTGTGTGTGTGTGCGTGTGTGTGTGATTTGGCGGTCCGCCCGCACTTGGGCGCTGTTGCAGCAGGGGGGCAGTGCCGCGTTGGTGGCGATGTTGACAATATCACGTTGGTTGTTGGTTGTTCGTTGTTGGTCGAGGGAGGCAACTTTTCTCCGTCTTTAAAGAGCAGCAGCTACAGCAATAGCAGCGCCACGCACCGCGCGAGGGAGGGAGGTGCGCGGAGGGTCTCAGACAGGAGGGCCTTCGGAGGCTCCCCCGCTGCTGATTTACTTGGTGGCTGCATTTGTGAGAAAAACAGCCCGGCTGGGTGGCGGCTGTATATCATGGTATGTGCCTCATGCGCAGGTTCGTACGCCTGTACTGCAGCATGCCGTACAGCTGTAGTATCTATTTGCTTATCTACCCAAGAACATGGCCTGCACAAAGCAGAGGTCCTGAACTAGGTGGAGCAGGTTGCGATAGATTTTGCCGACGGCACAGCAGAGGCTACACACACACATACAGACATACAAGCCACATTCTGATGCAGCTTTGAGCCTCGCCGTCGTTGTACCTCATCATGCCGCCGAAACTATTACTCGTGCACGCATCGTGTCATACATTCCTAACGCTCACCTCGTTTCATGTGCCAGGTGTGTACCGCTCAAGAAGATTGCAACGTCATACTTGCCGTATTCAACCTTGTCGTACGGGCCTCTGTCCCTAACCGTCAACCTAAAACTTCCCAACCTAAAACAGGCCTACAGCACGCACGAAGAGTACTGCCAACGCGGCACCTGGAGGGGGGAAGTCCACTTGCCAAGCTAGTCCGGGGAGTGAAGTAAAGTCTCATATAAGGGTCCGCGCGGTGTGCATTATCACCAAGCACCTACCACCAAAGCTCCTGCCCAAGGCATGCCCACTGACATCGCATGTGCGTGTGTGAGAGAGTGTGGTTTGGATTTGGAAAGGCCATTAGGCGCCTTGTGTGTTCTATTTACCTCGAAAAGGCAAAGACGACACATACGGCGAAATGAAAGCCGGAGCCAAATTCGATCTAACATGCACCGTCCGAGCTATCCTGCAAATCGGGAGACCCTGGCCAGGCGGGCCTTCTAGTCTCGGCCCGGTAGTTGTCAAGGCTATTGCCTTAACACGTGTGTCTGTAGGTAGGTGGCGCACGCGCACGAATAAAACACCCACAAGCAACATAAAGGCAAGCGAAATAGACATAAAGCTGCACAACTTGAACTTGGCGTTGCACAACCTTTGTGGATGGATGAGGCTTTCGCCGCAAGCATGCACAATGAACAAAACCTGTCCAGTCCAACGAGATCGCCTTCGACGAGGACGTGACGGTGAACTTAACCATCTTCAAGTCTTAAAAGCGAAATGGAACAGCGCGCAGAAAACTGTCTGCAGCTGTCCCCACTGGCATGTGTACGGCAGAGTGCAATATTTAAGCCAACCACCTAGTCACAAGGCCCTATGCAGCAGCAAGATCCCTGGAGTGTGTGCGGTAAGTGCTCAGATCATGCATCGATATGTGAACGACATGGAAGGCCAGGGGAAGAGGAGTTGTTGAGGCTAAGGCGCGACAAAGCGTTTCCGAGTCTCAAGTACGCTGCAAGGATGATGCCTTGCAAGCCCCGGCCCCCTGAGCCTTCGGGTTCGTTGGGACCGTGCAAGCTACAAGCATTGTCGACGTGTTGTGGAAAGCGCGGAGCGAAGCCCACTTACCCGGAAGCCGTGGTGCGTCGATGTCGTGCACGTGCACGGCACCGAGTTTAGTTTGCTGGATCAATCCACAGATTGCAACGAGAAAACCTAAAACTTGATACTCTTGAAATCTATTTCCCTGTGGTTGCCCACACACACACTGCGAAACCCCGCCTCCCTGTTCGTGTCTAAGTCCACACCCCGCTCCATGCAGCTACATTTTGCCGCTCCGCCGCGTGTAAAGTTCTCCTCCCCGCTCGTTAATGGTTACGCGCTGGTAGCCAGGTGAACAATAAATTCGCCCTGCGATGCAGCCCTCAGCCATGCAACGGAAATTGAGCCCCTCAGCTGATAGGACCTCGAAAGAAGCTACCAGAAAACCATATGCAGTGACTTGTAATTTGTGTGAGTAACGTTAGGAATTTAGGGACATGTTGCGGGAAAAGTTCCAAGTTTTGGTGTGGAAACCTTCAGCACAATGCAAAGCTGTAAGGCATGAAAGCTCTATGTAGTCAATATGTCTTGTTTTGTGTGTTTTGGCCCTTCAAAAGGCCCTTGTACGGCGTCGCCGCCGGCAGTATAGCGGCCCTGCCCCTCGTCCTGTTCTCTCTCTTTCCGATTGTCCTGTGGGCGTAGCCCTTGTGCACCTCACAGCCGGCAAAATGGCGCTTTCACAGGTTAGTCCACTAGCAGTCAGTTCTGATACTTTACTTGGTTGACGCTTATCGGCTTGTCAAGAAGTGCTAGAAATGATTTGTGCTAAACGTTATATTTACACACAGTCCTCGGTTACCATGGCTTGCGCAGAAGGAGCAGGATATTCAGATGATGCTGGCGGCCCAGTGCCACCTGGGCACCAAGAACTGCCACTACCAGATGGAGAGGTACATGTACCGCCGTCGCCAGGATGGCATTTACATCATTAACCTGGAGAAGACCTATGAGAAGCTGCAGATGGCTGCGCGCGTTATCGTGGCCATTGAGAACCCGCAGGACATCTGCGTTCTGTCCGCCCGCCCTTACGGCCAGCGCGCGGTGTTTAAGTTTGCTCAATACCTGGGGTGCAAGTCCATGGCGGGCCGCCACACCCCTGGTACCTTCACTAACCAAATTCAGAAGGCGTTCGAGGAGCCGCGGCTGCTCATCCTCACCGACCCCCGCACCGACCACCAGCCGGTGAAGGAGTCGTCCTACATGAACATCCCCACCATCGCCTTCTGCGACACGGATAGCCCGCTCACCTATGTGGATGTGGCTATCCCGGCTAACAACAAGGGCAAGCACTCGATCGGTGTGCTGTACTGGCTGTTGGCGCGCATGGTCTTGGAGATGCGCGAGCAGGTCACCCCGGCCAACCCCTGGAACGTGATGGTGGACCTGTTCTTCTACAGGTGCGGCAGCAATACCGCCGCAGCTGTGGAGTGGCAGCATTGGACTTATGGGTTGCAGTAGCCTGGGCGGGCGAGGGGGGGAGACTCCAGCAGGGGCCACATGGAGGGCACAGCAGCACGTACAGTAAGGAGAAGCAGCAGCCTCAATGGAGTCCGAGGGAAATCAATCAATCAATCAAGAGGCGCTTGGGAGCATCCATGGCCTCGTGGAAGACTCCCATGTCGATGTACCCCCAAAGCTGCGCGAGCGAAGCTTTGGATTATCAGCATTCTTCATTGAACTCAATACCCCTCAGCACCCCTGTCGGCTTTTGGGTGGATTCGGCATCTTGGCTGTTGCGGGCTTTTGTGAGGGGAAATAGCCGGAAAGCCCCATGCTCAATCTTGACGTTGTCGTGCAGCTTCTGGTGCGACATTGCTGTTAAACATGTTCACCTCGCCTTGATCATTACTCATATCTCAGCTGCAAAACACTTGACTTCATGTAGGACATTTGCACCGTTCCGACGATAGGAACGGATGGGTATCACGACGCCGCAGCCAGAAGCGACCCTCGTCCCTAGGCAGTTGTCGGTTAGCTCCTGGATGGCGCCAGTAAGCCCCGTACTTGAGTTTCAGTCTGCGTTCGAGTCATGAGTTGCATCGTTCCGCGCTTATCTTGCCAGGGAGCCCGAGGAGACGAAGGAGGGTGGTGAGGACGAGGCGTACGAGGGCGAGGCCTACGCCCTGCCTGCGCCGGTGGGAGCCACGGAGACCTGGGGCGAGGCCCCCGTTGCGGCGCCGGACGCTGCCGCCCCCGGCTACGCTGTGGACGCTGGTGGCTTCGAGGCCGCTGGTAGGTGTTTGTCTCGGATGTGTTGATGTGGGTATCGTGTGGTGAGGACTCTCCGTAAATGTTTTCAGCCTGGGAGGATGTGATATCATTCCAGGGACAGGCCCCGCGGAAATGGATACCGCAAAAGAGGCCTTCCATGCATGCGCATGTACGGAACTGCATGGTGTACACCAGGGGCGGTGTAATAGGCGGGTGGTAGAAAATGGAAAGTGTATGTCAGCAGGGCAGTTTCTTCGGGGACTGCTTCGTGAAAGCAGCTTGCGTGAGGACAGGGGGGGACTGCACAGGTTATGGGTTTGATATCGGAATCTATCCTGGTCGGCTGGGTTTTGGATTGAATGCCGGCTGCGCTAAATGTCATCGGTGATTTTGGTTGCATACTAGAGGGCTTATTAAAACTCTGCAGATCGTGACTGCTTGCATTCCTGGGTATAGCCTCAAACGTTAGTCTGAGGTGTGCATGAAGCGTGGTGGTGCGCTGGATTCAACTGATGATACATTCATCCATTCACCCATTTTAAAACCTATTGCTTACGGGATGGTCTGCCTGAAATATCTACAAATCGCATCGGTTGTGCTAACGACGGAGTACGCTCGTGTTCCGTAGGGATGTGCTCGTGTTCCGGCAAAGATAGTTTTATGTTCCGCTCATGTGTTGTTGGGTTGGTCTGGGCTGGGCTGGTGGGTCGATTGTAGCGCTGGTTTGTCCAGAATGTAGCACTGCTGAGTAGTCACGCCATGCGTAATGGGCACGGCCAAACCATGGGGCCCCTTCAGTTTCCTTGGGATTGCTGACACGCGCCCTGATGATGAGCATTACGGAAACTTCTTCGCTTTCTGAACCCTATGCGTCCCTATCCTGTCGCTTGCAGCTGGCTTCGAGGCGGCTGCCCCCCCGCCAATGGCTGGCTACGTCGCTCCCGAGGCTTTCGGTGGTGCCTTCTAGACGGCTCATGTGGTTCAGCTCGAAGGACTGTGGCACATAGAAGCGCACTTCGACCAACGCCCCTTTGGCTGTTGTGGGCGTTCAGAGGTGGCCTGGGAGAGAGAGCTGTAACTGTGAAAACTAATTTGAGTGTCGGCATTCTTTCCGCGAACCTGTCCTGGATCCTCAATCTGCACATAAAGGCCATTTTTGCATCGTTTTCAGCTTCGAGTAAGCAGCACGCGGAGCCTATTATTCCATTACTGCTTATGCGGCGGCCGGAAACTCAACTAACGGCGCGACGCCTCCCATGATCTCCTTACCAACCAGGCAGGGTGTTCGAAAGGAAGCGTCAGATTACGGCTGTCGAAGATAAGTACTCTGCAGAAAGTAATCACATCAGGCGAGGCTGTGTAAAGAAACATGGGCATATCAGCATTGTTCGGCTATGGATAAGGGCCGGAACTGTCCCGGGGGCGCTTAAGGGGGAGGGCAGTGTTAACGGCGTCACACGTTCTCTCCCTGAGCTGCGAGTCGTAGTGGCTGCAATGACGGCGGCTGGAGGCACCACGTCGTACAGTCGTGAAGCCATCCATACACCGCCACTACCCCGAAGCCAAATCCGGCATGCCTGTAATGCGTTAATGCACTCAACACCTCGTCTCCACGGCGACGTGCAAGCTGGCGGGGGTCATGGTTGCTGCGGTTATTTAGGTATCGTACAGTACAACGATTGCCCAACGTGTACGACATTCCCTTGCAGCCGTTTAGGTACTTCAGGTTCTACCACAAGGTCCCGCCTATGTCTCGCCGGGAGACAAAGCCAGACACGTTTCAGTTGGTGGCGGTCTGTCTCTGGGTTTTACTTTGGGGTGGGGTTGGTTGGTTGGTTGGCCGTGGGTCCTCCGACTCACGAAGGAACGCAATGAGACAAAAGCCGTGTCCAGAATGCTTTGCTCATTCCAAGTAATCGAGGAGTTAAGCGGCATAAGGTGTGCAGGGTGTGAGGTGCTCAGGATGAGGGTTTTTCCTGCCGACGGCCACATAGCCTGCTTATTGGATCAGTCGACTAGCCCCGGAAACCTCCTGTACTTAACCGCGGGGAAAGGAGGCGGTTCAAAAGTTGCTCGTGATGGTGTGGCGGATCTTGCCGTTGGTGCAACTAGCAATTACTTACAAGCTTACATTCCATCCTTATGGCCCATTTGAAAGTCAATTGCAGCGCGCGTCTTCTGCGCTGCTTTGCGCCAGGAACCCCAGTAGCTCTAAATTTCCATGAGGACCTCAGAATGGGCCAATTTGAGTTTGTGCGGAATGCGTGCAACAGATTGGGCCGCCTGGGTTGAGCGTGTGTCCTAGCGTAGCAGCTTTACTCGGGAGATGCCGCGAGCAATTATCGGCCATACCGCCGTGTCTATGCGGGATCAGTATCAACAGGGTGAAAAGATTCAGTCGCTTGTGTTTTCCTCGTTTTTGTTTATGGACTCGTCGACCGCCTTTCTGTTGGAGAAAAATCAAATGAATCGTCGTGCAGGCCGCTGCATGGCAGAAATTTATCCCTAGAAGCCAAAATTCCCAACGTAATATTGTCCTATTGTTCTTTTGCAAAAGGTTTGCCAGCGATGCCATAGCACATGGAGTTGCTATCCCTCGCTATAACGGGAAAGCAGGGAAGCGCTGCCACCGAACTGTTTGCGGTGTCGCGTGGTTCCTCTTCCGACAAATGCGCTCTTCCGACCAAAATCAAAATCGAGACGACCAGGCACGTTCCAGCCGCGATACCAGGCATCAATTCCTCTTTAATAAGCTGGTGCTGAAAAGAACTTTGTCCTCGGATACATACAGCACTCAAATTAGTTTAGGCAGGCGGCTGGCAGAGGTTAAGGCCTGACTTCTGCTCCCAGTTGACCCAGTCGACCCGGGTTCAAATCCGCCTGCCGGCTCCTCGGGTGTTTGAGGAGTGATGAAATGGGAGGTGGCCCCCCATCTTATGGACGGTGTAGGACGTGATAATATCAACTTGCGAGCTGACCAGGAACTAAGTTGATGCGCCGTTGATCCGCTAGATTTGGTTGGATGCTGGTGGTGAGTTGCCGAACCCAACGAATACATTCTGAAGTCGGATGGGGTGACGGATTAGGGTGCCCCTCTAGCAGGGGAGAGCAGGGACTGCCCCGGGAAAGGGGGCCGCTGGCGAAGTTAACCACCCTGTAACAACATACATACAGCGACCCACGGGACCGTCCTGCTTCCTCTCTTGTTTCCTAGCCCCCACAGAGCTGTTTAACATCCACTAGGCCCTCCTGGTAACTCTAGAGCTTTCCACCCAATCACTTTCCATCCCCAATTGTGCCGGCAGGTAGTCGGTGGTTGCCTCTGGCCCAGGGTTTTTGCTGCCAAAGGCTTCAGCAGCCGTGCCTGCAGCAGCAGCAACAGTAGCAGCAGCGGCCCTTGGCGTTTGGCGTTGCATAAGTTCTTCAGGCGGCCGCCGCCACCGTGTCCTCAGCTTCTGGCGGTGCAAAATCCCCCTGAGCAGCGCGCTCAGACTGACGACGGTGGCTGGTTCGATGACGAGGATGGGGACGGCGGTGATGGCGGTCTGGCCCAAGGGGGAATCTTTGATACAGCGGCGGCGGCGGCGGCGGCAGCAGCAGCAGCAGCAGCCAGCGGCAGCTTGATGTGCCTAAGCTGCTATGACCAACTCCTACCGGCAGGATTTGGCACCGCACTGTCGTATGCAGCTGCCTCCGCCAGCGCCGCCAGCAGCAGCGGTAGCAGCAACAGCGGAAGTAGCAGTAGTGGCAGCAGTAGCAGCAGTAGCTCCGGCAGCACGCGGCCTAAACGGCCAGCCTCTGCCGGCTGCGGCCACTTCTTTTGCTCTGGCTGCATTACCGAGTACGTGCGGGGGGCGATCAAGGACGGCAAGTACCCCATCACCTGCCCCATGGCTGCGGGGGGAGGTGGAGGCGCAGGAGGGGGACGACAGGGCTGCCGACTGAAGTTCTCGAGGGAAGCTGTCCTGGCGACATTGGAGGGCCAAACCAAGGAGGTGCAGGTGCGCGGCAAGGCAAGGGAGTGGGGGCGCTCATGATCGCATGAGCGCATCGTTATGCCCCTTTGGATGGGGGTGTTGTTGGGCCATCGAAAGTGACCTGCCGAGGTCTCACATCTGAGATTACACACCTACAGACTGGCTGGCAAAGGTCAGGGGGCGGAGGGATTGGAAACCTAAAATCCTGTGGGAATGAGTCTCAGGAAGCCCCCAGGTACATGGGCACATGAAGATATTTGATGCCGTTCATCATCGTTCTCATAGCAGACCACGTCCCCACCAGCCGGCGGTAGCAAGCACCCTAGGATACATCAAGTCCTAACCGCGCCTGCCGGCCCCCCTCTCTTTCCCTTCGCCGCCGCCTGCCCCTCCCCCCGATGCCGTGCCGGAAACCGTGACTCAAACCAGCAGTTGTGGGAGCAGCTGGAGGTGGGGTACGCCCTCCGCAATCTGCCCCGTATCTTCTGCCCCCACGCCGCCTGCTCCTGCCCCCTGCTACTGCCGGCAACGGGAGAGCAGCCGCTACCCTCCAACCAGCCCAGCACCTGCCCCGCCTGCGGCAAGGGCTTCTGCCCTCGTTGCCGCATTCCCGGATGGCACAAGGTGAGATGAGGGGAGCTAGGCCGGGCGGACTTGGGGGGCGGGGGGTCCGGGAACCTCTGCATGGAGATGTAGGGGCAGGGGGGGGTGGTAAGGCACTTAGCAGGGATCTGGATGGGGGATGGGGATGGGGATGGTAGTACATGGCAGTTGAGTCACAACGGGGCGACAGGGCGGCAGGTGGGGCAGGAGAGGCAGATAGGAGAGGCAGGTAGGAGAGGGAGCAGACGGCAACTTAACCCCGGTTGCACACGCCCCGGCATTGTGCACTGGGCGGGAATGAGGCCCGTTCAGGCCCGCAGCGCATGATGCAATCAATTGCCTCCATGATATCGCGTGATAAACAACGACGTCATCATTCCGTCTGAGTGACCGGCAAGCAGCTCCCCAGTTAAATCCCAAGTCAGAGCCGGAGCCTCGAGTCGGGCTCCCGGGCTCCCACACTCTCCGCCGTACACTCCGTGCAGGGCTACAGCTGCGCCCAGTACCAGGCGCTGCCGCCCGAGGAGCGCAACCCCGACACCGCAGCCGTACTGCGCCTCAGTGCGGCTCGCAGCTGGCAGCGCTGCCCCCAGTGCCGCTCCCTGGTGGAGAGGGCCGGTGGCTGCAACTACATCCGCTGCCGCTGCGGCCGCCAGTTCTGCTACCAGTGCGGACTGCCGTACCTGAGCTCCAAGCCCAGCCCCACCAACCTCCACGGCACACAGGCGTGCAGGTGCCCGCTGTGGCACGGCTGAATGAGGGCGGGAGGCTGGGGTGGGTGAAGAGGTTTGCAAAGGATTCGGATAAGTGAAGGGGGTTATGGAAGGGGGAAGGTTCAGAGGTCGGAAGGGAGGGCGCTAAAGCTCTCCGCGGGCGCTGAGGGGCTGTGTACAGGCTACGTGTACGACGGATGGTTACGGAGCTGCTGCGGGAGCTGCAGGCTCAGTGGGGAGCCAGCATAGCACCTGGCCCCGCACCTTGCCGAGGGGTACCTGGGCAGCTGGGATAGTAGTACCGTGCCGACAGCAGCGGCACCGGGGATGGGGACCTGCTCCTGGAGGGTGGAT